TGGCTTGTAGTTCTCCTTGAAGAGGTCCTTTACGTTCCTTGTTAGTTGTATTCCTAGGTATTTTATTCTCTTTGTAGGAATTGTGAATGGCAGTTCATTCTTGATGTGGCTGCCTTTAAGTGTTATTGGTGTATAGGAATGCTTGTGATTTTCGCACATTGATTTTGTATCCTGAGACTTTGCTGAAGTTGCTTATCAGTTTCAGGAGATTTTGGGCTGAGACGATGGGGTCTTCTAGATATACAATCATGTCATCTGCAGATAGAGACAATTTGACTTCCTCCTTTCCTATTTGAATATTTTTCTTGCCTGATTTCTCTGGCTAGAACTTCCAGTAGTATATTGAATAGGAGTGGTGAGAGAGGGCATCCTTGTCTAGTGGCAGATTTCAAAGGGAATGCTTCCAGTTTTTGCCCATTCAGTATGATATCGGCTGTTGGTTTGTCGTAAATAGCTTTTATTATTTTGAGATACGTTCCATCAATACCTAGTTTATTGAGGGTTTTTAGCATAAAGGGCTGTTGAATTTTGTCAAAGGCCTTCTCTGCATCAATTGAGATAATCATGTGGTTTTTGTCTTTGCTTCTGTTTATGTGGTGAATTACGTTTATAGACTTGCATATGTTGAACCAGCCTTGCATCCTGGGATGAAGCCTGCATGATCATGGTGGATAAGCTTTTTGATGTGCTGTTGCAGTCAGCTTGCCAGTATTTTATTGAAGATTTTTGCATCTATGTTCATCATGGATATTGGCCTGAAGTTTTCTTTTCTTGTTGAGTCTCTGCCGGGTTTTGGTATCAGGATGATGTTTGTCTCATAAAATGATTTGGGAAGGATTCCCTCTTTTTGGATTATTTGGAATAGTTTCAGAAGGAATGGTACCAGCTCCTCTTTGTACGTCTGGTAGAATTCAGCTGTGAACCCATCTGGACCTGGGCTTTTTTTGGGTGGTAGGCTCTTAATAGCTGCCTCAACTTCAGACCTTGATATTGGTCTATTCAGGGTTTCAACTTCTTCCTGGTTTAGGCTTGGGAGGAGGCAAGCATCCAGGAATTTATCCATTTCTTCCAGGTTTACTAGTTTATGTGCATAGAGTTGTCTGTAATAATCTCTGATGATGGTTTGAATTTCTGTGGAATCTGTGGTGATATCCCCTTTATCGTTTTTTATTGCATCAATTTGGTTATTCTCTTTTCTTTTTTATTAATCCGGCTATTAAATGTGTCCCAGAGATTTTGGTATGTTGTGCCTTCGTTCTCGTTGGTTTCAAAGAACATCTTTATTTCTGCCTTCATTTCATTGTTTATCCAGTCAACATTCAAGAGCAAGTTGTTCAGTTTCCATGAAGCTGTGCGGTTCTGAGTTAGTTTCTGCATTCTGAGTTCTAATTCAATTGCAGTATGGTCTGAGAGACTGTTTGTTATGATTTCCGTTCTTTTGCATTTGCTGAGGAGTGATTTATTTCCAATTATGTGGTCAATTTTAGAGTAGGTGTGATGTGGTGCTGAGAAGAATGTATATTCTGTGGATTTGGAGTGGAGAGTTCTGTAAACATCTATTAGGTTTGCTTGGTCCAGGTCTGAGTTCAGGTCCTGGGTATCCTTGTTAATTTTCTGTCTTGTTCATCTGTCTAATATAGACAATGGTGTATGGTGTGTTAAAGTCTCCCACTATTATTGTGTGGGAGTCTAAATCTCTTTGTAAGTCATTAAGAACTTGCCTTATGTATCTGGGTGCTCCTGTATTGGGTGCGTATATATTTAGGATCGTTAGCTCTTCTTGTTGCATTGATCCTTTTACCATTATGTAATGTCCTTCTTTGCCTCTTTTGATCTTCGTTGCTTTAAAGTTTATTTTATCAGAGATGAGAATTGCAACTCCTGCTTTTTTTTGCTCTCCATTTGCTTGGTAAATCTTTCTCCATCCCTTTATTTTGAGCCTTTGTGTATCCTTGCATGTGAGATCGGTTTCCTGGATACAGCACACTGATGGGTTTTGGCTTTTTATCCAATTTGCCAGTCTATGTCTTTTGATTGGGGCATTTAGTCTATTTACATTTAGGAATAATATTGTTATGTGTGAATTTGATACTGCCATTTTGATGCTAGCTGGCTCTTTTGTTCGTTGATGCAGATTCTTGATTGTGTTGATGCTCTTTACCATTTGGTATGTTTTTGGAGTAGCTGGTACTGGTTGTTCCTTTATAAGTGTAGAGTCTCTTTCAGGAGCTCTTGTAAAGCAGGTCTGGTGGTGATGAAATCTCTGAGTATTTGCTTGTTTGTAAAGGATTTTATTTTTCCTTCACTTATGAAGTTTAGTTTGGCTGGATAGGAGATTCTGGGTTGAAAGTTCTTTTCTTTAAGGATGTTTAATATTGGCCCCCACTCTCTTCTGGCTTGTAGGGTTTCTGCTGAGAGATCTGCTGTGAGTCTGATGGGCTTCCCTTTGTGGGTATCCTGGCCTTTCTCTCTGGCTGCATTTAGGATTTTCTCCTTCATTTCAACCCTGGTGAATCTGATGATTATGTGCCTTGGGGTTGCTCTTCTTGAGGAATATCTTTGTGGTGTTCTCTGTATTTCCTGGACTTGAATATTGGCCTGTCTTGCTAGGTTAGGGAAGTTTTCCTGGATAATATCCTGAAGAGTATTTTCCACCTTGGATTCATTCTCTTCGTCACATTCAGGTACACCTATCAGACGTAGATTAGGTCTTTTCACATAGTCCCACATTTCTTGGAGACTTTGTTCATTCCTTTTTACCCTTTTTTCCATTCTTGCCTTCTCGTTTTATTTCATTGAGTTGATCTTCGACCTCTGATATCCTTTCTTCTGCTTGGTCAATTGGGCTGTTGAAACTTGTGCATGTTTCACGAAGTTCTCGTGTTGTGTTTTTCTGCTCGATCAATTAACTTATATTCCTCTCTATGTTGTCCATTCTCGTTAGCATTTCGTGAAATCTTTTTTCAAGGTTTTAGTTTCTTTGCATTGGGTTAGAACATGTTATTTTAGCTCATAGTAGTTTCTTATTACCCACCTTCTGAAGTCTGATTCTGTCATTTCATCACACTCCTTCTCCATCCAGCCTTGTTCCCTTGCTGGTGAGGAGTTGTGATCCCTTTTAGGAGGAGAGGTGTTCTGGTTTTGGGTGTTTTCATCATTTTTGTGCTGGTTTCTTCCCCCTTTGTAGGTTTATCCACCTGTTGTCTTTGTAGTTACTGACTTTCAGATTGGGTTTCTGAGTGAACTTCCAGTTTGTGGATGCTGAAGTTACTTCTTTTTCTTAGCTTTCCTTCTAACACTCTGGCCCCTCTGCTGTAGGACTGCTGAGGTCCACTCCAGACCCTGTTTGCTGGGGCATCACCTGTAGCAGCTGCAGAACAGTAAAGGTTGCTGCCAGTTTCCTCTTCTGCTATCTTTGCCCCAGAAGGATGCCCGCCAAATGTCAGTCTGTTCTCTCCTTTGTGAGGTGACTCTTTGGATATACTGGGGTCAGGGAGCTGCTTCAGGAGATAGTCTGTCCTTTATTGGAGCTCAAGTCTTGAGCTGTGAGCGCTGTTGTTCATTCAGAGTTGCTGGGCAGGTACGTTTAGGTCTGCTGCAGCAGAACTCATAAATTCCCTTTCACCCCCTCCCCCACAGGTGCTGTGTTCCAGGGAGTTAGGGCTTTATTTATGAGTTTCCGTTGTGCTGCTGCCTTTTTTTTTTTTTCTTTCAGGGCTGCCCTGCCCAGCGAGGAGGCAGCCTAGTCACTGTCTGCCTGCAGAGGCTTTGCTGAGCTGCTGTGGGCTCCGCCAGCTGCCGTGTGATCTTCCCTGCAGTCCTGTTTATATGGGTGTAGTTAGAACTGCCTTGGCAATGGTGGCCGGCCTCTGTTATGGTGGACTCTCTGAGTAGTGGCAGGTTGTCTCAGCAACGGTGGGTTGCCTCAGCAATGGTGGGCTGTCTCAGCGATGGTCAGACTGCCTCCGTAGTGGTGGAGTGTCTCAGTAATGGTGGACGCCCCTCCCCCACAGAGCCGGACCGTCCCGGGTTCAGCTGTGCTTGCTGTGAAACTCTCAACAGAGAGTTTTCAATTACTGTTTTTTTTTTTTTTTTTTGTGGGGGTGGGGTGGGACCAGCCGAACCTGATCACCTGGCTCCCTGACTCAAGAGTTTTTTGTTGTTGTTGTTGTTGGAGGGTCGACTCTCTCCCTGTTGAAAAGGCGCTGGGATCTCCCGTGCCGCGACTCACTGAGCCGGTTGAAACAGCGGCATTGAGATTCCTGGCATTTTTTTTGCCTAGGAATCTCCTGGCCTGGCTCAGTATTTCAGATGAATGGGCAACTCTGCCGTCTCAGGGCTCCTATTGCCAGCTAAGAGGGCACCCGGACCAGTGTCTTTTGTATGGAGAACCGCCGTGCCAGGGCGCGGGCAAAGCAGCTGTGCAGGCCAAAACAGCCTTGCAGGCTGAAACAGCCGCGCTGGTGACCTGTGGGGCTCCTCCGCCTGGGAATCTCCTGGTCTGTGGGCAATAAAAATCCGTCTGGAAATGCAGCGTCCACTCAGCCTCTGCACTTTCACTGGGAGCTGTAATCCTGAGCTGTTCCTAGTCGGCTATCTTTCCCCCCCACGCCCCGATCCCCCTGTCAGTTGCTTCTTTTACACCCTTCTTGACCATCTATAAAAATACCAAGCTTGAAGCTTATTAAATAAATGTGATTAAACATTTTTTGTTGTGATCTCAATATTTTTCTTCACGTATCGCATTAATTCTCTTTTTTAAGGCTGAGATATGTGCTAAAACTTTCTTAAGCTCTTGGATAAGGTATCAATTTGATAATAAATTTCCAGTCTTTTGTAGTATTTTATATTAATTTTTTTTTCTGAAAGACAATGGTGATGGAGCTTAAGCATTATATACAAATCACATGCAATCAATTTTAGTAAAATTAGAATAAAATTGGTAATCCTTCTGATTAAAAAAATAAAAAAATCAGTAACATTTTATAAATCCATGTCACCTGTTGATCTGTAGTATATTCTGTAGCATCATCAAGACTGCAGATCCTATTTGGACATTGTCAGCTTGCAGTAAGTGTAAGAAATGATCACTCTGTAGTACTAAAGGAAAAGAAAAAAAAAAAGATTAACACAAAAATTTTATGATAACAAAGGAAGATTTTGTTCTTTTCAAACCAAATCAAAGCAGACCATTTCTGCTAAACTTTCTGACTTTGTATACTCTACAATAAAGGAAATTTTAAGATGTAAAATTCATGGTAATTTTAAATAGACATAAATAAGTCATTCCATTTTTATGAATATAGTCAGAGAACAGGCATAAATACTAAGCTAAAAGTCTATTGTTATCTCTCTTTAAATCGAAAATAACATATCCTAAATCTGAATCTTTTTTCCTATCAATGAATTTCAGTGAATAAAAACAAATTTCTTGCAAAGACAGACTATAAGGGGATGGAAATGGCACAGATGACTATAATTGGTTGCTTACATCCTTAAAAAATTTAATTTTGTGACACATTGTTTTATATAATAATGAATACATTAACTACAAAAATTTCCTTTTATTGATTCGTAATCTTTAAGCTCTAAGCAGTCAGTTATAATGATTTAGCATTGGATGGTTATACAAGTTGCTTAACCTTTTAGAAACTGTTTCTTCATTTCTTCATTGGTAAAACTAGAAATAATAGCTCTCACATGAGCTAATGTAAAATGTCCTAGAACAGGGAATGTTTCTAATAAATGTCAGTTTCCATTCCATTGTATGCTCAATAACTGAGCATAACTACCAAAGGTATTAGTTATACTAACTGAAAGTAGTTGCCTTTGGAAAATGGGAAATGGAGTAGGCATGAGGGCCAGGGATTGTCTGTGTGTTTTAATGATCCTTACGGGACTACTTGACTCTCTAAATTATGTGCATGAATGAATCTAGGGAGAAAAGCTAAAAGTAAAATTTCAGTTCAAGTATTTCTTAAAAAAATTCTTATAGTGTTACATCTATATTAGATGAAATTTTTCAAGAGTAAAAAGAGTGCCATCAATGTCACTAAGAATTATTTTCTCAGTCTTAAGAAAACACAATACAAAACTTATCATGTTTGTGTTTCTCAATGTAAACAAAAATATCCTGTAACTTCCAAGTTCGCTAAAAGCTCATTAAATAAAAGCTTACACTTACTTGGATAATTAGGTTATATGAGTTAAATCATATCCACCCTGAATGTAGGGATTTCTCTCACAGTAGGTCTAAAACACTGCAATCTTTTAAACTTAAAAGTTATTTTCAGGAATAAACTATTCAAAGTATAATTTATCTTTATCTTAGATTTGCTAAACAGAAAAAGCTATTGTCGACGTTGGCTGTGTAAAATTGGAATATCCATTCTAAAAAAATTGTAAGCTTATTTCAACATGGTTTCATTTCAGTGTGGTTGTCTATATAGTTAATGTGGCATTTATTTTTGGAAAAAAAAGATCAAACTGTTAGCAGTTGACTCTACAATAGCTATTAGTTACATTAACATCTTTTCTCTTACCATTCTGAATAAGTTCAATATGGCCTCCCACAAGCCAGAAGAGAGAATCAGTCACAATGTGGAAAAAGTGTAGTAATTCACCTTTTTCTTCAGCCTTAACATAAAAGATAAGCCCAGTTTACTTTTCTATCATTTTTTTTTTTTTTTTTTAAGAAGACTTCTCTCTGGGGAGTTAGAGGATACAGTTTCTGGATCTAACTTAGCTATTTATGAGGAACATGATTTTGTTGCCTTTAGTTTCTTAATTGTAAAACTTATGGTTACAGGATAGTAATATCTACTAGAAATGGTTGTTATCCAGATAAAATAAAACCATGTAAGTAGTGTAAGGACTACAAGTTGATACAATAGGATTTCTTAATACTTGCTATGCATCAGAATCACTTGTTGAGCTTTTTAAATACATCTATGGACAAGCTTCAGTTCAAATGTACTGAATTTGAATCTCCAAAGGCAAAGGCTGGATATCTGTATTTGCACAAAGTTAGTTGGCTGATTTGGTTATGCAACCAGGATGCAAACAACTGCAATATTCAAATGTAGATGTCAGCATGAGAGGGATTATTGATAGTGTATTTCAGTTCCAGTTTCTACTCATAAGTTTAGGAGGGCAGAGATCATGTCATTTAGCTCCCCACTATAAACTTGGTTTCTAGGACAGTTCTGACACATAGTAAATGTTCAATCAACATTAAGTCAACAAATAAATGACAATTTTTTTCTGGTTCTTCCTTTCTGGAAAGTAGGGTGAGAAATTATTATGAATTAGAGCTACAAGGAGAAATAAGAAGTATAGATTCCATTTGCAATTTTGTCATTTATTGGCCATGTAATTTTAGTAGAATATTAGTTAAAGGTCACTAATCTTATCCATGTCCTGAATGTTTGTACTATAGCACAAAAGTAATGATGAGAGCAGCAAAAATATTATGATTGCCATGATTACTCTTTATAATAATGAGAGTATTTTCTTCCTAATATTCTAGCACAAAGCTACATAAATATTTAAGTAAACTGACACATGCTGACTTGAATACAATTGAAAAAAAAAAAAAAACCCTAAGAAAACTCACAGTAGAAGAAGAGTTCTTTTAGTACAGTAAACTATCTTTGCCAGAGTTTTACCTAAAGATACATAAGAAAGGGCATGGTAATTCTCATTGCTGTCAATGAATCATTTATCTAAATAAAAATACAACAATAAAGAAAAGAAAAATATTATGAAAAGTATTGAAGGACTTTATAAATGAAAGGAATTAAGTGAATAAGTATATTTCTAATGAAAATAACATCCAAATATATGTCTATATAACATTAATATGTAATTTTAATAATATATAACAAAAAATTATTAATGCTCTTAAATGGGAATATTAAATAAAGGTGCTTTGAATAAAAGATAAAGCATCTATAATGATCTGAGCTATTAAGGAGACAGATTTTACAAATGAGGAAAATGAGATACAGTAAAATCCAGTGATTTGCTATAGAACCTAGAGTTAGTTTGTGGCACAACCAGCAGGAGAAATCAAATCCAACACAATTCCTATAGTTCATGTGGCTTCAACTAACCTAAATTAAAACTAAATCTAGCAAATTTTATTTAGTGCTAATGTCCCATAAAATGACAGTGGAGATACCAGAAATGGAATTGTAACCAATTATATAGAAAACATATGCTCTACCACTGAGTTAAATTCTCTGCTGGGGGGATCTTGCAAGATGCCCAAATAGGAACAGCTCTGGTCTGCAGCTCCCAGAGAGACCAATGCAGAAGGCAGGTGATTTTTGCATTTCCAATTAAGGCATCTGGATCATCTCATTGGGACTGCTTAGACAGCAGCGAGCAGAAGCAGAGTGGGGCATCACCTCACCCAGGAAGTGCAAGGAGCCAGGGACCTCCCTCCCCTGGCCAAGGGAAGCCAAGAGGGACTGTGCTATCTGGCCCAGATACTACACTTTCCCTCATTTTTGCAACCTGCAGACCAGGAGATTCCTTGCCTATACCACCAGGGCCCTGGGTTTCAGGCACAAAACTGGGTGGCTGTTTGGGCAGACACTGAGCTAGCTGCAGGTGTTTTTTTTTTGTTTTTTTTTTGTACCCCAATGGCACCTGAAACCCCAGAGAGACAGACCATTCACTCCCCTAAAAAGGGAGCCGAAGCCAAGGTCCCACTCCCATGGAGCCCAGCAAGCTAAGAACCACTGGCTTGAAATTCTTGCTGTCAGCACAGCAGTCTGAAGTCAACTGGACTGATTGATCGAGCTTCGTGGGGGAGAGGCATCAGCTATTACTGAGGCTTGTGTAGACAGTTTTCCCCTCACAGGGTTAAGGAAGTTACTGGGAAGTTCAGACTGGGTGGAACTCACTGCAGCATAACAAAGTGACTGTAGCCAGACTACCTCTCTAGATTCCCCCTCACTGGGCAGGGCATCTCTTAAATAAAGGTAAGCAGCCCCAATCAGGGCCTTATATATAAAACTGCCATCTCCCTGGGACAGAGCACCTAGGGGAAGGGGTCAGCTTCAGCAGACTGAAACATTCCTGCCTGCCGGCTCTGAAGAGAGCAGCAGATCTGCCAGCACAGTGCTCAAGTTCTGCTAAGGGACAGAATGCCTCCTCAAGTGGGTCCCTGACCCCATGCCTCCTGACTGGGAGACACCTCCATACAGGAGAGCTCTAGCTGGCATCAGGCAGGTGCCCCTCTGGGACAAAGCTTCCAGAGGAAGGAGCAGGTAGCACTCTTTGCTGTTCTGCAGCCTCTGCTGGTGATATCCAGGGAAACAGCCTCTGGAGTGGACCTCTAGCAAACTCCAGCAGACCTGCAGAAGAGGGGCCTGACTGTTAGAAGGAAAACCAGCAAACAGAAAGTAATAACATCAACATCAACAAAAAGGGCACCCCCACAAAATACCCATCCAAAGGTCATCAGCATCAAAGATCAAAGGTAGATAAATCCAAAGATAAGGAAAAGCCAGTGCAAAAATGCTGAAAATTCTAAAAACCAGGATGCCTCTTCTCCAAATGATTGCAATTCCTCTCTAGCAAGGGCATGAAACTGGATGGAGAATGAGTTTAATGAAATGACAGAAGTACGCTGCAAAAGGTTGGTAATAACAAACTTCTCTGAGCTAAAGGATCATGTCCTAATCCAAAGCAAGGAAGCTAAGAAGCTTTATAAAACGTTACAGGAGGGAGGAGGGTGGGGAGTATATCTTATAAAAATTATTAAAAAAAAAAAAAAAAAAAAAAGGTTACAGGAAATGCTAACTAGAATAACCAGTTTACACAGAAACATAAATTACCTGATGGAGCTGAAAAACATAGCATGAGAACTTCATAAAGCATACATAAGTATCAATAGCTGAATTGATCAATTGGAAAAAAGAATACAAGAGATTGAAGATCAACTTAATGAAATAAAGCATGAAGGTAAGATTAGAGAAAAAAGAATGGGTCCATTGGCAAGATGGCCAAATAGGAACAGCTCTAATCTGCGGCTCCCAGCAAGATTGACGCAGAAGGTGGGTGATTCCTGTATTTCCAACTAAGGCACCTGGTTCATCTCACTGGGACTGGTTGGACAATGGATGCCATCCATGGAGGGTGAGCTGAAGCAGCATGGGGCATTGCCTCACCCGGGAGGCACAAGGGGTCAGGGGATTTCTCCTAGCTAAGGGAAGCTGTGAGAGACTGTACCAGGAAGAACAACGCATTCTGGCCCAGATACTGTGCTTTTCCCATGGTCTTCACAACCAGCAGACCAGGAGATCCCCTCCAGTTCCTATGCCACCTGGATTCCAAGCACAAAACTGGGTGGCCATTTGGGCAGGAGTTTTTTTTTTTTTTTTCATACCCCAGTGGCACCTGGAATGCCAGTGAGACAGAAACTTCACTCCCCTGGAAGGGCAGCTGAAGCCAGGGAGCCAAGTGGTCTGGCTTGGTAGATCCCACCCCCTTGGAGCCCAGTAAGCTAAGATCCATTGGTTTGAAATTCTCGCTGTCAGCACAGCAGTCTGAGGCTGACCTGGCATTATCAAGCTTGATGTGGGGAGGGGTGTCCGCCACTGTTGAGGCTTGAGTAGGTGGTTTTTCCCTCACAGTGTAAACAAGGCCTTCTGGAAGTCTGAACCAGGCAGAGCCCACCATAGCTCAGCAAGGCCTTTGCAGCCAAACTGCCTGTCTAGATTACTCCTCTCTGGACAAGGCATCTCTGAAAAAAAGGCAGCAGCCCTAGTCAGGGACTTATAGACAAAAACCCCATCTTCCTGGAACAGAGCACCTGGGGGAAAGGGTGGCTGTGGGTGCAGCTTCAGCAGACTTAAACGTCCCTGCCTGACAGTGCTGAAGGAAGCAGGAGATCTCCCAGCATGGCATTTGAGCTCTGATATGGGACAGACTGCCTCCTCAATTGGGTCGGTGGCCCCTGTGTATCCTGACTGGGAGACCCCTCCCAGTACAGGCCAAAAGACACCTCATACAGGAGAGCTCTGGCTGATATCTGGTGGGTGCCCCTTTGGGACAAAACTTCCAGAGGAAAGAACAGGCATCAATCTTTGCTGTTCTGTAGCCTCCACTGGTGATACCAGGCAAACAGGAGTTTGACCTCTGGGAAACTCCAGCAGACCTGCAGCAGAGGAAAACTGAAGTTAGAAGGAAAACTAACAAACAGAAAGAAATATCAACATCAACAAAAAGGATGTCCACTCAGAGACTCCATCTGAAGGTCACCAACATCAAAGACCAATGGTAGATAAATCCACGAAGATAGGGAGAAATCAGTGCAAAAAGGCTGAAAATTCCAAAAGCCAGAACACCTCTTCTCTTCCAAAGCATCAAACTCTTTGCCAGCAAGGGAACAAAACTGAACGGAGAATGAATTTGAAGAACTGACAGAAGTAGGCTTCAGAAGGTGGGTAATAACAAACTCCTCTGAGCTAAAAAAGCATGTTCTAACCCAATGAAAGGAAGCTGAGCCTTGAAAAAAGGTTAGATGAATTGCTAACTATAATAATCAGTTTAGAGAAGAACATAAATGACCTAATGGAGCTGAAAAACACAGCACAAGAATTTCATGAAGCATACACAAGTATCAGTAGTTGAATTGATCAAGTGGAAGAAAGGATATCAGAAATTGAAGATCAACTCAATGAAATAAAGCGAAAAGACAAGATTAGAGACAAAAGAGTGAAAAGAAATGAACAAAGCCTCCAAGAAATATGGGACTATGTGAAAAAACAAAACAAAACAAAACAAATCTACTTTTGATTGGTATACCTGAAAGTGACAAGGAGAATGGAATCAAGTTGGAAAATACTCTTCAGGATATTAGCCAGGAGAACTTCCCCAACCTAGCACGGGAGGCCAACATTCAAATCCAGGAAATACAGAGAACACCGCAAAGATACTCCTTGAGAAGAGTAATCCCAAGACACATAATCATCAGATTCACCAGGGTTGAAATGAAGGAGAAAATCCTAAGGGCAGCCAGAGAGAAAGGTCGGGTTACCCACAAACGGAAGCCCGTCAGATTAACAGTGGATCTCTTTGCAGAAACCCTATGAGCCAGAAGATAGTGGGGGCCAATATTCAACATTCTTAAAGAATTTTCAACCCAGAATTTCATATCTAGCCAAACAAAGCTTCATAAGCAAAGGAGAAATAAAATCCTTTACAGACAAGCAAATGCTGAGAGACTGTCACCACCAGGCCTGCCTTACAAGAGCTCCTGAGAAAGCGCTAAACATGGAAAGAACAACCGGTACCAGTCACTAAAAAAACAAACCAAATTGTAAAGACTGTTGACAGTATGAAGAAACTGCATCAACTAACAGGCAAAATAACCAGCTAGCATCATAATGACAGGACCAAATTCACACATAACAGTATTAACCTGAAGTGGAAAAATGCTAAATGGCCCATTTAAACAACATAGACTGGCAAATTTGATAAGAGTCAAGACCAATTAGTGTGCTGTATTCAGGAGGCCAATCTCATGTGCAAAGACACAAATAGGCTCAAAATAAAGGGATGGAGAAATATTTACTAAGCAAATGGAAAGCAAAAAAAAAAAAAAAAACAAACCAAAAAACAAGGTTGCAATCCTAGTCTCTGATATAATAGACTTTAAACCAACAAAGATCAAAACAGACAAAGGACATTATATAATGGGAAAGGGATCAAAGTAACAAGAAGAGCTAACTATCCTAAATATATATGCACCCAATACAGGAGCACCCAGATTCATAAAGCAAGTTCTTGAAGACCTACAAAGAGACTTAGACTCCCACACAATAATAGTGGGAGACTTTAACACCCCTTTAACACTGTCAACATTAGACAGATCAATGAGTCAGAAAATTAGCAAGAATATCCAGGACTTGAACTAGGCTCTGGACCAAGTGGACCTAATATACATCTACAGAACTCTCCACCCCAAATCCACAGAATATACATTCTTCTCAGCACCACACTGCACTTATTCTAAAATTGACCACATAATTGGAAGTAAAATACTCCTCAGCAAATGCAAAAGAATGAAAATCATAACAGACAGTTTCTCAGACCGCAGTGCAATTGAATTAGAAATCAGGATTAAGGAACTCACTCAAAACTACACAACTATGTGGAAACTGAACAACCTGCTACTGAAAGACTACTGGGTAAATAATGAAATTAGGGTAGAAATAAAGATGTTCTTTGAAACCAATGAGAACAAAGACACATGTACCAGAATCTCTGGGACCCATTTAAAGCAGTGCATAGAGGGAAATTTATAACACTAAATGCCCACAAGAGAAATGAAGAAAGATCTAAAATCGACACCTAACATCACAATTAAAAGAACTATAGAAGCAAGAGCAAATAAATTCAAAAGGTAACAGAAGACAAGAAATAACTAAGATCACAGCAGAACTGAAGGGGATAGAGACACAAAAAAAAAAACCCTTCAAAAAAAATCAGTGAATGCAGGAGCTAGGTTTTTGAAGAGATCAACAAAATAGGTAGACTGCTAGCTAGACTAATAAAGAAGAAAAGAGAGAAGAATCAAATAGACACAATAAAAATGATGAAGGGAATATCATCACTGATCCCACAGAAATACGAACTACCATCAGAGAATACTGTAAATACCCCTGTGCAAATAAACTAGAAAATCTAGAAGAAATGGATAAATTCCTGGACATATACCCTCCCAAGACTAAACCAGGAAGAAGCTAAATCCCTGAATAGACCAATAACAACTTCTGAAACTGAGGCAGTTAAATAACAGTCTACCAACTAAAAAAAGCCCAGGACCAGATGGATTCATAGTTGAATTCTACCAGCAGTACAAAGAGGAGCTGGTACCATTCCTTCTGAAACAATCCCAAACAACAGAAAAAGAGGAACTCCTCCCTAACTCATTTTATGAGGCCATTTTCATGCTGATCCCAAAGCCTGGCAGAGACACAACAAAAGAAGAGAATTTCAGGCCAACATCCCTGATGAACATCAATGCGAAAATCCTCAATAAGTAGCAAACCCAGTCCAGCAGCACATCAAAAAGCTTGTCCACCATCAAGCTGGCTTCATCCCTGGGATGCAAAGTTGGTTCAACATATGCAAATCAATAAATGTAATCCATCACACAAACAGAACTAATGACAAAAACCACATGATTATCTCAATAGATGCAGAGAAGACCTTTGATAAAATTCAACACCCCTTCATACTAAAAATAGTCAATAAAACTAGGTATTGATGGAACATATCTCAAAATAATAAGAGCTATTTATGACAAACCTATAGCCAATATCATATCAAATGGGCAAAAGCTGGAACCATTCCCTTTGAAAACTGGCACAAGACAAAAATGCCCTCTCTCACCACTCCTATTCAACACAGTATTGGAAGTTCTGGCCAGGGCAATCAAGCAAGAGAATGAAATAAAGGGTATTCACAGAGGAAGAGAGAAAGTCAAATTGTCTCTGTTTGCAGATGACATGATTGTATATTGAGAAAACCCCAACATCTCAGCCCCAAAACTCCTGAAGCTGATAAACAACTTCAGTAAAATCTAAGGACACAAAATCAGTATGCAAAAATCACAAGCATTCCTATGCAACAATAATATACAGAGAGCCAAATCATGAGTGAACTCCCATTCACAATTGCTACGAAGAGAATAAAATACCTAGGAGTACAACTTACAAGGGATGTGAAGGACCTCTTCAAGAAGAACTACAAACCAGTGCTCAAGGAGAAATACAAACCACTGCTCAAGGAAATAAGAGAAGAAACAAACAGATGGAAAAACATTCCATGCTCATGGATAGATAAAATCTATATCATGAAAATGGCCATACTCCTCAAAGTAATTTATAGATTCAATGATAATCCCATGAAACTGCCATTGAGTTTCTTCGCACAATTAGGAAAACTACTTTAAATTCCATATGGAATCAAAAAAGAGCCCGTTTAGCCAAGGCAATTCTAAGGAAAAAGAACAAAGCTGGAGGCATCATGCTACCTGACTTCAAACTATGCTAAAATGCTACAGTAACCAAAACAGCATGGTACTGGTACCAAAACAGATATATAGACCAATGGAACAGAACAGGCCTCAGAAACAATGCCTCACATCTACAATGATCTGATCTTTTACAAACCTGATGAAAACAAGCTATGGGGAAAGGACTCCCCATTTAATAAATGATTCTGGGAAAAGTGGCTAGCCATATGCAGAAAACTGAAACTGGACCCCTTTCTCACACTTTATACAAAAATTAAAGATGGATTAAAGACTTAAATGTAAGACCTAAAACCATAAAAACCCTAGGAGAAAACCTAGGCAATATCATTCAGGATATAGGCATGGGCAAAGACTTCACAACTAAAACGCCAAAAGCAATGGCAACAAAAGCCAAAATTCATAAATGGGATCTAATTAAACAAAGGCTTCTGCACAGCAAAAGAAACTATCATCAGAGTGAACAGGCAACCTACAGAATGGGGGAAAACTTCTGCAACCTATCCATCTGACAAAGGGCTAATATCCAGAATCTACAAGGAACTTAAACAAATTTAAAGAGAAAAACAACCCCATCAAAAAGTAGGCAAATGATATGAATAGACACTTCTCAAAAGAAGACACTTATGAGGCCAAGAAACATGAAAAAATGCTCACCCTCACTGGTCATTAGAGAAATGCACATAAAAACCATAATGAGATACCATCCCATGCCAGTTGGAATGGCAGTCATTAAAAAGGAAACTACAGATGCTGGAGAGGATGTGGAAAAATAGGAACACTTTTATACTGTTGGTGGGATTGTAAATTAGTTCAACCACTGTGGAAGACTGTGGCAATTCCTCAAAGATCCAGAACCAGAAATACCATTTGACCCAGCAATCCCATTCCTGGGTATATACCTAAAGGATTATATATCATTCTACTATAAAGACACATGCACCTGTATGTTTACTGAAGCACTATTTACAATAGCAAAGTCTTGGAACCAACACAAATACCCATCAATGATAGACTGGATAAAGAAACTGTGGCAAATATACACCATGGAATACTATGCAGTCATAAAAAAGGATGAGTTCATGTCCTTTGCAGGGACATAGATCAATTTGGAAACCATCATTCTCAGAAAACTAACCCAGGAACAGAAAACCAAACATTGTATATTCTCACTCATAAGTGGGAGTTGAACAATGAAAACACATGGACAGAGGAAGGGAACATCACACATCAGAGTGTGTAACACATGGACAGAGGAAGGGAATGTCACACACCAGAGTGGGTTGCGGGGTGAGGTTCAACGGGAGGGACAGCATTAGGAGAAATACCTAATGCGTACAGGGCTTAAAACCCAGATGATAGGTTGACGGGTGCAGTAAACCACAATGGCACATGTATACTATGTAACAAACCTGCACATTCAGCACATGTATCACAGAACTTGAAGAATAATAAAAAAGAAAAAAAAATTATCTGCCAACAGTATTTCTTATATTCAAAACAGCGTGTTGTCTGTACTATTACACCTTTCATTCAATTTCATTCTTCTAATTTAAAATTAAATTTTATTAAACTAAAAATACATCTATTTTAGGTTTCCTATTAGAAATAGCTAAGACCTTTTCTAGTTTATCAGCCTGGGAATTCCTTAAAAGTAAGACTGTAGCTATTCTTTATACACTCAAAGCGCCTTAAATAGAACTTAATATAACATGGTGATCACTATGGACTGTTTGTGTCCCAAAAACTTTTGGTATTTCTTTGAAATCTGGTGAATATACTTGGAGCGGATCTCTACTTGGAGGCTAAATTTTCATTAGAAATACTTGATGTGTATTTAGATTTTGTAAAACTTACAGTTGTAAAAGCAGATTCATATAATCAAGCTGTTCCAAACACACATAAGTTTCCTAACAGAATTCATCATCAATTTTTAAATTTACAATAATTAAAATTAAATAAAATTTTCAATTCCTCAGTCATAAAGGCACATTTCAAGTGCTCAACTGATCCACAGGGTTAATGGCTACCGTATTATACTGTGCAGAACAGACCATGAGGCCATGTACCAGACATCGCTACTTAAATTATTTAAACGGCAGTTAGAGCATCTAGCAAATCCATCTCTTCAAAATGACAAATATTTATAAAAAAATTAAAAATGCCCTCAATGTCTTTTCCTGCAGTTCTCTTCATTACGCTAGCATGTTGAGCTATAATTCCTCAATTTGCCCAAATAAATTGTATCTGTGTCAGATAACTCTAAGGCTCTGAACACAGTCTTCACATATTATCTCTACAGCACATCCTTAGGAAAGCTCATCTTCTAGCATGCTCCTCTTCAAAGTTTTAAGTAGCATTCATAAGAGGACTTTCCAACCTATAGTCATACTCTTGACCTCTCAATCAAACTTCAATTCCATACTAGACATTTCCATTTGAAAATGAAACTAACTTCAAAAAAATTGTATCCTTTTCCTATTCAGTTTTTACCTTTGGCTTATCACTTCTCTTAAACATCTATAGGGCCTTGAAACCTTAGACAACGTTAAAATATTATATATTATCTATATGAAGCACTGTCTGATATTATACCTTTTATATTCTTTCAATTTTTTTCTTAACATTTTATTTGACCCTCTTTTTTTCCAAAGTCATCGTGAGTCAAGCCTCTCATCATCTTAGTTCTAGCTTACTGCAATAATTTTTAACGGTCTCTTCTACTTTCTCCAGCATACTCTTATGTTTCCTCAAAAGCCTCTTCAATATTTTCAGAATCAAGTTCAAACTCTTTTTTTCTGTTTTTGTTTGTTTGTCTGTTTTTTGTTTTGTTTTAGTTGTTGGTTTTAGAGACAGGTCTTGCTCTGTTGCCAAAGCTGGGGTGCAGTGGCATGATCACGGCTCAGTGTATCCTTGAGCTCCTGGGCTCAAGCAATCCTCCTGACTTAGCCTCCTGAGTAGCTAGGATGATACGCATGTGCCGCCACACCCGGCTAGGTCTTGCTATGTGGCTCAGATTGGTGTTGAACTCCTAGGCTCAGGTGATCCTACCATCTCGGCCTCCCAAAGTGTTGGGATTATACAGACATGAGCCACTGCATCTGGCCTTCAATCCTTCTGAATGAGATTACTCTATCTAACTCTGGTAGGTATCTGCAATGGGACTCAAAGATACCATATTTATTCCTCTTTCCTGGTCTTGTCCATTTCCCCTGCCCATAATGCCCTCATATTTCCAAATCTCACCCATGCTTTAGAGATAGATAGACCAGGTACCATTGGCTCCACAAAGCTTTTTCAAATCACTCTTGTTCACATTGATTGCTCCCTTCTCTTCCTGTTTATAGAACTTACTTTCCTGTTAGTTATTGGCCAGAAAATATTTTAGGCATTACAGTCTCTCACAACTACTGAACTCTATGGCTATAGAGTGAAAGTAGTTGTGGATAATATAAACAAATGGGTATAGCTGTGATCCAATACAACTTTATTTTTTTAAAAGCTGGATTTAGCCCACAGGCCACAGTTTGTTGATCCATGCTTTTGCTGACCAAAATTATAAACTCTGGAAAAAATATAAAAAGCAATTGTTTGAAGACCCTAGATAGCAAGCAAAGGCACATAGACATGACCCTGAAATAAAATGTACTGGCTGAAATCTAAATTTATCTTGTGTAATTGTCAAACATTATTCTGGGTGTTTCTGTGAGGGTATTTTTAGATGAATTAACAATTAAATTTTTAGTCTGAGTACAGCAGATTGCTCTCCTTAATGTGGGTGGGCCTCATATAATCAGCTGAGGGCTTGAATAGAACAAAACATTGACCCTCTCACACATAAAAGGAAATTCCTCTTGCCTGACTGCCTTTGAGTTGGGACATCATTTTTTCCTAACTTTAGACTCAAACACGCTTCTTCATGGATCTTGAGCCTACTGGCCTTTGAACTGGCACTATGCTATTCAACTCTCCTGGTTCTAAGGCATTTAAACTCAGACTATACCATCAGCTCTCCTGGGTCTCCAGCTTACCAGCTGCAAATCTCAGGACTTGTTAGCCTCCATAATTGCCAATTCCTTATAATCAATCAGTTTCTATTTTTTTTTCTCTCTCCATATATCTTCTATTGGTTCTGTTTATCTGGAGAAACCTGACTAATACACCTGGTTTTTCCCAGTGTGTATTTATCAACATAGCGAAAGGAGTTCAAACAAGAAGTTGTAGTATAACTAGGCTGAGGAGTCAGAATTTGGAGCTTGGGGCTGCCAGAACAGTTAATAAAGAAGTGATCCACATGAAAAAAAAAAAAAAGAAAAAGAAGTGACCCATAAAGTAGAGAGCTCCAAAATCTATGCACAAACTTCCATTGAATTCTTGACTCTTAAACTGTGTATATGTGAGAAAAGGCTTCAAGGAGCCCAGAAGAATCTGCAGCTGAAAGGTTGAAAGAAATTATCAGCAATTTCATTATTTGCCTAATACTGGGTATACAGAGTTTGGAGTTTAGGTTCTTCCAAGTCAGAAGGTCTAGGTTAACATGGTAGGCTTTCCATTTAAACCACAGAAGAATCCCACTTTACGTGTAAGAACTGTGAACAAGGACTAAGGGCAATATTCTAAGAGTTAATCTGAAGTAAACCTCTTCTAAAAAAGGCTAAAACCAGTCCTCCACAGGATCAACTGACCTGCCAGAATTTAACTGCTTTCAAGTCTTCAGAGGAAGATACGAATTTCTATAATGTTATTCACAGTGTCCATTATTAAACAAAAAATTAATAGACGTGAAGAAGCAGAAAAATTTGACCCAGTATTAAGAGAAAAAACAGTTATATGGTAAAGAATCTATAAGAAAAGCAAATGGAAATCATAGAACAATACAATATATGAAATGAAAAATTCACTAGATAAGATTATTAGCACATTAGACACTGCAGAAGATAGGATCAGTGTAATTGAAGACAGATCAATAGAAACTATCAAAACTGAAGTAAACAACAACAATAACAAAAGGATGAAGAGCCTCAACAACCTGGAGTCCCAGAGGGAAGGTGGAACGAATAGGGCAAAAAAAGTATTTGAAAAAATATTAGCTGAAAATTTTCTTAATGTGAATACATTAACTCAGATACATGGAGCTCAGCAACCTCCATGCAAGACAGACATCAGGAAATCAACACTAAGGCTCATCAAAGTAAAACTGCTGAAAATAAAACAAAATAAACCAAACAAAGAGAACATCTTAAAGAACCCAGAGATAAAATGGTGCAATATGTATAGAAGAATGATAACAAGAATGAAGACCAAATTGACATCAGAAACAAAAGATGCCAGAAGACAATGGAAAGAAATCTTTAAAGTGCAAAAAGGGGGAAAAAATTGATGAAGTAGAATTATACACATGCAACAGAAATATTCCTCAAAAGTGAAGGCAACATGAAGACATTTTCAGATAACCAAAAAGCTGAGAGAATTCATTACCAGTAGAATTGCACTGTAACATATGCTAAAGAAGGTTGTCAGGCTTAAAGGAAATGATACCAGATGAAAATTCAAATCTATTTGAAGGAATGAAGACAACTAGACATAGTAGATATGAAAAATCATTTTTCTTTAATTTCTTTATTGAAAAGTCAACACACTATTTAAAGTAAAAATAACACATGGTAGGTTTTATAATACATGTAAAAGTAAAATATAAGACAAAATAGCACAAAAGATAGAAAGTGGGAACAAATTTTTTAAAAATAGCAAAATTTTAGAATTTAACCTAACCATACTACAAATTAGATTAAATGCAAGTAAATGATACCCTTTAAAACAACAGCTTGTCAGACTAGATGAAAATGCAAGACCTGACAATATGCTATTTATAAGAGACTCACTATAAGACAGAAGTTAAAAAGTAAAAGGCTGAGAAAAGATGTACAATAGTTTCCCACTTATCCATGTAAGACATGTCCCAAGACCCCCAATGGATGCCTGAAAGTGTGGATAGTACTGAACCCCATATATACTTTTTTTCTTTTAAATATGAAAACTGAGACGAGCTACTAAGTGAACAACAGGCAAGTAGCTTATACAGTGCTGATATGCTGATCAACGGGTGCTTCACACCCAGGGAGGGGCACTATGAGATTTCATCACGCTATACAGAGTAGCATGTCATTTAATTTTTAATTGTTTATTTCTGGAATTTTCCACTTAATATTTTTGAACTACTATTGGCCATGGGTAACTGAAATCATGAAAGCTGAAACTGCAGAAAGTGTATCATGTAAACACTAATCATAAGAAAACTGGAGTGTCAATATTCGTAATACTAAACAAAGTCAACTTCAAGATAAGATATATTACCAGCGATAAGGGCCATTTAATGTTACCTGAGTCCATGAGTAAGGTTTAAAAACAAAAAAGACCATTTCATAATGATAATAGCTTTCATTCATCCAGAAGATATAATATTCCTAAATGGTATGTATCTAATCACAGAGCTTTGTAATACATGAAGCAAAATCATATGGAACTAAAGACAGAATTAGACAAACCCACAATCATAGTTGGAAATTTTAATACCCTTGCTCACTTAAAAGTAGAAATGTAAACCAGAAGAAGAATGAGAATTTAGAAGACTTCAACAACACTACTAACCAAATTGACCTAATTAATATTTATAGAACATTATACACAACTGCAGAGTTCACATTCAAATATACAGTAGTCCTAGCTTTTGCAGGGCACCATATTAAATAAAACCTGTGCATATCAAAACTTTCGCATGGTTCTAACATGCACGAGTTTCAATTAGGATGTAACTATGCCAAGCAAAGATTTCTTTAAACAGATCATTCACCAAGATAAAACATATGGGGGTGGTCATAAAACAAGTCTGAAAAAATTCCAAAGGATTGAAATGATACAGAGAATGTTATCTGATCACAATATAATTACATTAGAAATTGATAACAATATTAAGTATCTAGTAAATCTTCAAATATTTGGAAATTAAGCCATAGACTTCTAAATCCATGGGTCAAAAAAAGAGCATATACATAGCATCTAGCATAATGCAACCAAAAAATACTTGAATTGAAAAGACCCCTGTGTTTGGTTGAATATTTTTACTGGAGAAAATATGAGAGATCAAATAGGAAGTTCACCTTTATTCTTCTTCACTACTGGAACTACTTAGAAAAGCCCTAGCACTAGAGAACATACTTTCCTTTCTACGTTAAGTAAAAAGTATGTTTAGAAAGATGTTATGGAAATAATTGTCTATGGGTACTGCCCAACATTGAGTAGTAAGGCAGATCCTTCAAAAAAAATCAAACAGTATGCTTCAGTCAGCATTAAATATTTTCAAACATAGAGATGATTTTTGGGGGTTATAACTTTTAAAATGTTAACATCCACTACTCTAAGTGTACTTTCAGCCAAATATTGCACATTTGAAAAATAACAGAACAGCTTCTCAAGAATTAAACTGATTTAGCTATAAAACACTAAATAAACACATACCTTAGCTGCATTGATAAAACATGTTTGTAATTGTCTCCCCAAAATGAGAAAATTTTCTGCAGCTGATGGAAGTAATTCATTGTAAAATTCCTCTGCATCTTCTCCTGGCTCCAATCCCACACAGCAATGGCTGAAATAAGAGCACAAGTTTGTGTTAATTAGAAGTTTACTGAATCCTCAAGCTTCTAGAGACACTGTGCCTTATTGAGAATTTTTAGTATGCTTCTTTTGTTGCCAAGCCAATAAAGAATTTTTGTTGGAAAATTAGTCTAACAACTTTCTAGAAAAGTAAACAGTGGTATGGACCATGCTTATACTTAGGTCTGGGATTTATATATCCTAAAAACCTACATATCAGCTCATTCAGGAAATAAAAGACACTTGTCTCACAATAAGGAGAAGCTAAGATTTCAGTGAATTGGCTATAATCATTCTGAAAGCCATAGGATACCTTAAGAGTTTAATTTATGAAAAGCATTTGTGTTCACTAATAGATTTTAGACATCCAATAGCTGAAAAATGCCCAGGTAGGATTTGTTTCCAAGGGATACATAAGGAAACCAAACACTAATTTCATACCAATTTTACCTTCCATTAGATCTACTTTTTGCAAAATATTCACTTACATATTCCTTGTATCAGAAGGACAAACAGCAAAACCTAAGTCTAGTAGGAACGCTTTACAATATACATTAAAGGAGAGAAAGTCACATAAAGAAAAAGGTCCTCCTAAGACTGTACATGAAAGTCATTTCCTAGATATAAGTCAGAAGTCTCAATAATAATAATTTTTTCTGTAAACTAACATCCAAAACAGCCTCAAACCGAAGAATGGTCTCTATGTGTGTATGCCAATGAACAAAACCTGCTGTTTGAGTCTTTTCAACAAAATGTATGGACACTAATAAGCAATAACAACTATGTACTGAGCATATTTAAAACCTAAGTAATCAATGGCAGATGGATAAAGAAAATGGTAAATTTCTTTGGGGTGGTACATATACACCACGTTCTTTTTTATGCAGCCATAAAAAAGAACAAGATGTCCTTTGCGGCAACATAGATAGAGGTGAAGGCCATTAACCTAAGTGAACTAACACATGTACAGAAAGCCAAATACTGCATATTCTCACTTATAAGTGAGAACAAACACTGAATATATATGACACAAGGAAGGTAACAACAGACATTAGGTTTACTTGAGGGTGGAGGGTGAGGACCAAAAAACTTCCTATTGGGTACCATGCCTACTACCTGTGTAATGAAATAATCTGTACATCAAATCCATGTGACATGCAATTTACCTATAAAACAAACCTGCACGATACCCCTGAACCTAAAATAAAAGTTAGGAAAAAAATCCTAAGTGGCTAATGTTTATATGTTGAGTTTTTATTTATTTATTTTTGCTTATTTTCTAAAATTAATGGGCTAATAGTCACATGTATCAGCCTTTCTTTTCTCTTTGGTTCCTAAAGTTAATTCCTTAAGAGTATCTATTTTGAATGAGAGGATTAACAAATGAAATTATGTTTATTTGTGCATTCATAAACATGGGAATTTCTTAAGTCTTGAATTCTACTCCGGAGAGGCCTGGCTTAATCAATATCATCATAAACTAACATATCTAATAAAAAAAAAATAAGGCTTTATTTACTTAAGAAAATCAATCTTGAAAATTAAAGTATGGAAATGAATATTACATATATTTTTTAACTGGTTCTTTGTAACTATTTGGCCTTTACCAAGTAACACAGTAGGATTAAGCAGCTTAGAAATCTAGTATCCAAGACAAACCATTTCAGTGGGAATAGTTTATTAAACTCAAATGGCTTATCTAGGAAATACAAAAAACAAAAAAAGAAGGCCAGGATCCAGTTAGTAAATGCATATGTTCAGTTACTTAATCAGGAAGTAGCTAAGGCACTAAGAACATCTGGTTTATTTTACTACTCCCTTTAGAAGAATGATGTTTATTTCTTTTCTACTAATTTCTAGCATGGCAGTAGATCAGTAAATGCTACTTCTAAATTTTATTGACACTATTTGGGTTGCTTAATGAAATATACAGTTGACACCTGAATTGATATAGTGAAATGAATGTTTCTTTATTGGTTCTCCTATAGTACTTTGCTTGCATACTTTCATTTTAGCACCAATTTCATCCTGTTTTGTATCATATACTTACATGACTGTCACCCAATCTCTATTATAAGTTTCTCAAGTAGAGCCAGTGCCTTAATTTCTTCACTTCTATAAATATTTCTTAGTCAATAAAAAGTATATTAGGCACTTGGAATTCAGTGGTGAGAAAAAATAATGATCACCATCTTCATTAAGCTTGTGGAGGAAAATTTTAGACAATTAAAGAATCTCAAATAAAGTTATGAACAATACATGTAGTATGAAGGAAAAGTACAACCAAAACCTACCACAAGAGGTTGCCAATGCTTTTTAGGCAGATAAAAAAGCAAATGCTGAAAATCAGAATCAACTGCTATATCCCTCAAGAACAAGCTGACCTACTGCTTCATTTTACCTTAATATCTGTGTAAGCTGGGAAATGGTAGTCCAACCACCCTGGATTCGAGAACAGTCTTGACTGAGGACCAAGAGGCAATATTGAATGAGATCATAACAATATATATCTTGTTTGATTTTCTTCAACTCTGAGCTTCCTAAAGGTGTGCTGTTTATTATTTCTAGGGCAAAAGGAAATAAGATATACTTATTTTTGCTCAATACATCCAGGCATTATTTGTATTTTCATATGTTGAATAATTACTAAAAATATATTAGAATAAAAAATCACTGCTCTATCACAGTGTTAAGATTTCTCTGGACAAATTTTAAAGAAATGTTAAAATTGTACCAATGATGGAACTGTTTTTCACTTAAAGTGCTATCTAATCACAAAAAGATTTCCTTACCTTTTAACTTCAACAGTATAACAGGGACATTCTGCTCAGGACTTTTTGCAACTTCAGCAGCTATAGATAAGATCCTTGGGTCTGTACCTGTTGGCTTCATTTCTTATATTATCTATCTTTTAACAGAATCAGAGAATAAAGGTCAAAAAGCCATAAAATGTTCACTACCTAAATAATGTTTGAAATATAATTTTAATATAAATAAAAACAGCTTTTCTTGCCTTGTTTGAGAAACAGTACATAGATTTTCCTTTAATTTCTTTCTTATAGTAAACTGGTTTTTCACACAAGTGTAACTCTAAAAGAGCTTAAGATTCCAATACCTCACATGTGACAGCTATAGCAGATACTGTTTATTGTGCACTCACTAAGAGTCAGGAACCATGATAGGAGCTTCACATTCTCTCTCTAATCTGCACAATAATTCTAGGATAGGAATTAACTTTCTTTAATCATACAAGAAAAACTACAAAAAAGAGCTAACATGACAGGCCTAAGACTACTCTTTTCAAAGGTGTGCTTACAAGGTTGGTCCTTGGCTGGCATCTAGAACTTGGATTTCAGGAGGGTTTCTACCATTCTCTGATAACAGTGGCTCCCTGTGCCTACTGTTTATGAAAAACAATGTGGCTCATGCTGAACGCCTGCTTTCCTTCCAGTGAATCTTAGAATTCTGATACATACCAGCCAAGAGTACCTATATACAAGGTGCCTACGTGGCCATCCTCCAATAAAAATTCTGATCACTGAGTATCTAGTTGAGCTTCCCTGGTAGACAACACTTCAAACATGTGGTCACAGCTGGGTGCTGGAGGAATTAAGCATGTCCTATGTAACTCCCCTGGGAGAGGACTCAGAAGTTTATACCTGATTTCCTCTGGATTTCACCCAATATGCTTTTTCCTTTTGCTGATTTTGCTTTATTTCCCTTCACTATAATAAATCATAGCTGTAAGCACATTAAATTCTGAGACCTGTGAGCCCTTCTAGTGAAACACTGACTTTCAACACACTAATGCTCAGAAATGTTACATAAATATAAGATGATAAAAGATTACTTCTAAATAGTACAGTGAATAAGGCCAGGCATGGTGGCTCAAGCCTGTAATCCCGCACTTTGGGAGGCTGAGGCAGGTGAATCACTTGAGGTCAGGCATTCAAGACCAGCCTGGCCAACATGGTGAAACCCCATCTCTACTGAAAACACAAAACATCAGCCAGGCATGGTGATGTGTGCCTGTAATCCCAGTTAGTTGGGAGGCTGAGGCAGGAGAATAGCTTGAACCCAAGAGGCGGAGGTTGCAAGATCACACCACTGCACTCCGGCCTGAGCAACGGAACTCGACTCTGTCTCAAAATAATAATAATAAATAAGTAAATAGTATATTGAATAAAATCAATTGTCCCTAATATTAAAAAAAGAAAAAGGTCCACATCCTAATTTGTTGCTAAAACTTTCTCTATGTAAAAAAGTTTAAGGAAGGAGAATCACTTGAGAATAGGTGTTTGAGACTAGCTTGGTCAAGAAAACAAGACCCTGTCTCTAAAAAAAAAAGTTTTAAAGCATTTGAAGCTCAAAAATATCCTCACACAATAAAAGCACATTTCCTTATTTATAATTAATAAAGCTAACATATGTTGTTTAATATGAGCTAAGCACTGTGTTAAATGCTTTTACATATATTGTGTTATCTAATCCTCACAACGGGACTAAGAAGTAGAATGTGTGATCATCACCTTACATACATATATACACATACATATACATACACATATACATATATATGTTTTTGTTAACAGTTCCTGGCTCGTAACTCCCATAGCCTTTGTTATAGTCTTGTTATGTTAGGATGCTTTAGGCCTTGGAAAATAGAATCTGTGACTTTTTTCTCTTCCCCTTTCACCTGCTCCTTCTCCCCAAAGCAGAACTTTAATTGTCCCTGCTGTTCTCTGACCTATCTTGTCTGGCTGTAGGTCATAAGACTCCCGTTTCAGAAGGGGTCTTGCCCTATATACTAGAAGGAATGCTGCACAGAGAAGCCAAGAAGAATCTAAGCAGACAGGCCTTGCTGGGTTTTCCCACTCAGTCTATTAGTATTAGTTTGTATCTTTTTTGTCCAATCACATTTCCAACATGATTGTCCATGCTTCAGTCATGCTTATCCAATGAAGTCTCCATAAAAGGCTTGAGGATGGGGTACAAAGAGCTTCTGGACAGCTGAACATATGGAAATTTCTAGAGGAACTTCCTAGATAGCACACCCAGCGAGGACATGGAAGCTCTCTGCCCCTTCCCATACTTCGTAGTATGCATCTCTTCATTTGAATCCTAATTTTTTTGTTGTTGTTGAGACATGGTCTCACTTCTATTGCACAGGCTGGAGGGTAGTGGTACAATCATGGCTCACTGCAGTCTTGACTTCCGGTTCAGGTGATTCTCCCACCTCAGCGTCCCAAGTAGCTAGGACTAATGATGCAAGCCATGATGCTTGGCTAATTTTTTGTATTTTTAGTAGAGACAGGGTTTCTCCATGTTGCCCAGGCTCTCTGTAATATCTTTTATAATAAACCGGAAAACATGTTTCCCTCAGTTTTGTGAGCTGCTCTAGCTTAATCCACCCCAAGGAAAGGGTAGTAGTATTCCCCATGTGTAGCTGGTCAGTCAGAAGCACAGGTAAAACAACCCAGGGTTGCAACTGGCATCAGAAGTAGGGGCCACTCTTGCAAGACTAAACCCTAAACCTGAGGGATCTGACCCTATCTCCAAGTAGACAGTGTCAGAATTGAATTAGAGAATATCCAGCTGGTGTTTGCTGCAGAATTCATTGCTTGCTTGTTGGTGGGAGAATTCTCCACACATCTGGTCCCAGAAGTCTTTTGTGTTGATTGTCATGATTGAGAGCAAAAACTGCTTTTCCATTCATATATCTCTTATTAGGTACAATATAAATCATTAAAAGACAGGTTTGCTGAAAATACTTTAAAGAAAGCCCAGTGTAACTCCTGGCACATAGTAGTCACAAAACTTTCCAAGAGAATGCATATAGTTATCTCATTCTTTCCAAATGGCTGCATTATGCTACACTTCCTTTTTAAGAATGCAGCAAAATATATTTAAACATCACCTCTAATGTAGGTCATTCAAGCTGTATGCTATTACAAGCAACGATACAATGAATATACACATTATCTTTTACATTTTTGCCAATCTGTTAGATGAAAATTGGTATAATTTTGTTTTAATTTACATTTCTCTGATTATTAGGGACGTCAGGCACATTTCATGTTCACTGGCCATTATTGCTTTTATGTATTTTCTATTCATATCCCTTGCCTATATTTCTACTGGATTGTCTTATTCTTTTGCAGAAACTTTTCATACATGAATAGAAATCTTTTTTATATTGGCTGTAAAATTTTCTCCTAGGTTGTCATTTATTTTTAAAATTTGACTATGGCATCTTTACCACAATTTTACAATTTGTTTTGAGTCTCACTCTGTTCACCCTGGCTGCAGTGCAGCGGCACGATCTCGGCTCACTGCATCCTCTGCTTCCCGGGTTCAAGCAATTCTTACCCCTCAGCCTCCCGAGTAGCTGGGATTACAAGCGTGTGCCACCATGCCCGGCTAAATTTTGTATTTTTAGTAGAGATGGGGTTTCACCATGTTGGCCAGGCTGGTCTTGAACTCCTGACCTCAAGTGGTCTGCCCACTTCATTCTCCCAAAGTGTTGGCATGAACCACAGTGCCCGGCCATTTTTACAATTTTTATGTTACTGAAATATAACGATCTTTTCCTCTATGGCTTCTGTCTTTTGTGTCATGTTTAGAAAGGTTCTCTCTAACCCAGGAGCTAAGAAACATTCTCCAAATCTTCATGTATTTTTGGTTTTGTTTTCCATATATATCTTCAAAAGGAAAGTATGTTTGTGAATGGTATCATATAAGAATCTAAATTTTTAATATTAAAGTTATTGATGGATTAAAAAATACATATAGCAGTCATAAATTCATAAGGTAACTAGTTATGAAAAGATACAACAGAAACAATCTGAAATGTCACATTTTCATGCACTATGTATACAGACACACACACAGGGAATCTTTTTGGACTCTACTTATTTTCATTAATCTGTTTGTTTAGTTTTGAGCTAATACAACATAGTTCATTCAGAGAAAATTCACCTCAGAAGGTAAGCTTCATGAGGACAACCTACCTATCCCTTAGAGATGATTAAATGAGTTAATACATGAAAGCAATTGGAACAATTCCTGGCATATAATAAGAGCTCTCCAAATGGTTATTATTAAAGCTCAGCTCTACCATCATACTACATTTTAAGATCATCTTTGGTGGCTGCTTTTTTTTTTTTTTTTTGTAAGACAGTGTCTCACTCTGTCGCCCAGGCTGGAATGCAACAGTGCTTTCTCAGCTCACTGCAACCTCTGCCTCCCAGGTTCAAGTGATTCTCCTGCCTCAGCCCCCCAAGTAGCTGGGATTACAGGCACGTGCCACCACGCCCAGCTAATTTTTGTATTTTTAGTAGAGACGGGGTTTCACCGTCTTGGCCAGGCTGTTCTTGAGCTCCAGAACTTGTGATCCACCCACCTTGGCCTCCCAAAGTGCTGGGATTACAGGCATGGGCCACTGCGCCCGGCTGGTTGCCTTCTTATATCTTTGGTCCACAACTATATTTCTAGTGGCTAGAGTAGTGCCTGGCATGTAGCAGAATTTACTAAATACATGTTGAAAGAATGAATTAATGCACAAACCTCAAGCATTCTGAGCCTTAATTTCTTGACTTTCTGGTTTTCCCCTTGTAATACAGAAAGCTCAGATTTCTGGTTGGAAGTCTCTCTAAAGTAAAATAGGCTCAAAACTGTGCCCTTCTGGCTACCATAATAAAACATCACTAAATCATTATTGTCATTATCAAACGTGTAGAGCAGTATGGTGGATGTAGGGGACACAAAGATTCTACACGAGACATACTCTCTGCTATTGTTCTGGTTGGGAAAGAAAAGTATGTATATGTACATGTGTATATACACATTAAAATAATATACTTAAGAATATCAGGTATATAAGATGATATAGATAAGAATACAGGCCATAAAGTCGGAGGACTGGGCTTCTCTGAACCCCTTTTCTTGGCTCTAAACAAAATAGCAATTCCTACCTCCTAGAATGATTCCAGATTTAGAAGAGAAGGCAGCCACCAAAGATGGTCTTAAAATGTAGCATAACTGTAGACCTGGGCCTTAAATAGTAACCATTTGGAGACCTCTTACTATGCACCAGGAATTGGTCTAATTGCTTTCAAGTATGAACTCATTTAATCATTCCAACAACTCTAAGGAATAGGTACTATTATTTTTTCCTCAATTTGAACAATGAGCATACTTAAACTCTAGAGAATGTAATTAGCTGACACAAAGCCACACTATTAAGTATGAAGAGGGTTTCAAACTGGAGCCACCATCTGGCTTAAAACACTTAACTACAGTATGAAACAGCCTCCAGTACCCCTTCCAAGGGCAGGAATTACAGACAGGTTGAAGGAGACATAGTCACCTACCCAATAATCAATTGACAAGTGTGCCTAAGGCAGAAGTGAGGGAGTGCAGTTTGATTACGTAATTACTCCAAAAAGCCACCTGTTATGGAAACCGTTTGTAAACTTTCTCGTTTCTCCTCTAATTCAACACTTCCCCCCATCTTTACATTAAATTCATGAACTTTCACACAAAAAGATAATTATTTATCGATTTTAATGCTACTACCCTGTTGCCAGGCCACCGGTTCCGGCCCAGCTTTGATTCTTTGGGAATCACGTCCCTGTCGCCCCGCCCGTTACTGCCTCCATCGATCACTGTGAGGAAAATAAAAGGAAATTCAGTGCGATCCTGTTGCGTCTGATCCTAAATGCCTGCAGTTCCTATCTCTGAATCCTCTTCCCCCTCCTCCCCACCCTCCAAAACATCCCCGTCTCCAGTCCTAAGATCACAGGAAACTTCCTCTGGTACAAAAAGGTCAGAAAATGGTAACTGAGGTAACAGCCTCGCTCCCAGTCAGGTCCAAGGACCGAAATTCCGGGCCCGCGGGATTCCTTTACTCCAGATTCTAGACCCGGCTTTCGCGCTACCAGGCGTTGGACAAGACACTAGGCCCTGTGCCCGGACACTGCCCTTCCGCAGGCCTCAGTTTTCACACCAGATCTCCACAGAATGGGCGTGAGGGCAGGCCGATTCTCCCGTTAAGAGCTCTCACACGCCGGCTGACTTGTCCAGGAGCCTGGGGTCTTGGGCTCCGGGTAGGCGCTCTGGGGCCCTCTCCTTCCCCAGCCACCACATCAAATCAGTTACCTCATCCTCGCTTCCCGTTCTTCCACTAAAGAGCCCGGCACCCACGCCGCACCACAGCGCGGCGGCCTTCCCGGGGCAGCTTGCGTCGCGACGCGGGAAGAGGCCTGGAAGCTGGACTAGGGCCTCGGAGCCAAGGGGCGGGGCGTCCTTTGCCAAGAAGCCAATAAGAACGCGAAACGCGCCCGGTGGGGCGGTGCGCGTCGGGCGCGGGGTGGAGTCTGTGGTGACTGGGCTGGCGGGATCAAGTGCAGTTGCTTTAGGCTGAGGTGGCAGATAGCGAACGCCAGTGGCGGAGGCAAAGTCAGAGCAGAAGAGTAATGATGAATAGCGCAGCGGGATTACCACACCTAGACCGTCGCGAGCGGGTTCTCAAGTTAGGCGAGAGTTTCGAGAAGCAGCCGCGCTGCGCCTTCCACACTGTGCGATGTGAGTGAGGACGGCCCGGGGATAGAGGGGGAGCCTCCCGCGATGGGAGTAAAGAGGCACAAACCCCTCTGTGTTTTGTTCCCACAGTCCGTCTTACACTGTTGGAGACTGCCGGGGGGTGGGGAGGAAGGGCGGGGGCCAGCACGGTCCTCTACCCTGCTCAGAGTCTTAGGGTGTCGGTGGAAGGATTCAGAGTCGAGCAAATGTGGGCACCCTGGGAAGAGAGCGTTGAGACCAACAAATAGGAAGGGAAAGTGTGGAAAAAGTCTGCAGAGGTGACTGTGGAGACCGACATGACAGGTGGATGATGCAAGGGTGGACAGGAAAATATTAAGGTGACAAATGGGAAGGGACTAAGGACCGAATGCCGGGAAGTTGAATGCCTTAAGGCTGGTGGGGCAATATTCTCTGTTTTCTTCACTTTTTCTCACCTCTGGCAGATTAGGGTTCTTATTTAGTGCGTTCTTTGCAAGGGGAGAAATTCCCAACCATCCCAATCATCTATATCTCTTTGGACCCCAGATTTCACTGAGTTATCGAATACTGATTATCAAAGTATTCGAGGGTATGTTATTAATTTCTTTATTTGGAAGATGTTTACCTCCCTATGATTTCTATCCTTTGGTTTTCTTTAGTGCAAACTTGTTTTAATAAAGTATTCTTTAGTGGAACTAGTTTTAATAATTTATTCTCTTTTATGTTGTTGAAGTAGAAAAAGGAGCTCTTTTGCTTTAACAGATGGATGATATAGATTCCAGGAAGGAAAATATAGCAATAAGTTTTTATGCGTAAGACATTCATTTTTTGCATAACAGCTGTCATAGAATTGTAGAGCGGGAAGGAAACTTCGAAATCACTGAATCATAACCTCTCATTTTTCTGTGGTAAAAATGTAAAGTAAGTATTTTTTCACTTCCTTCCCCTAGCCTTGCCCTTCCTTAATATCTTATCTTTCCACCTTTCTCAGTCATTCTGTCCTCAGGTTGTTTAGAGACCTTTACGGTTTTTACTCTGAAATATTCTATGGTTCAATCAAAACGACTAATTAAAACATACATTCTCCCAAAAGTTTATTTAAGTTTTAGACAATTTAGTTATAATTTCTGAGAGTAAAGGTATGAAGAACCACTGGTTTTAACCTTGCAAGAATATATTTGCTAAAAGGGTTTTATTAAGCAAAATTAACATCCACTTGGTAAAATAAATGAGGGAGATATTTGTGAACAGAAAATCTTCAACTGTGTTCCTTGTTTATTCTTCTTTATCATATACTCTCTCATCCAGCGCTCCCCACAGTGAAATAATGCTGTGCTGGCTCTGCAGTTTCTCTGTTCCTTCAGTCCCAATTTCCAGAAGTGTGATATGGGTCTTCATCTGGTTTCTCCATGACTTTTTCTCAAATAGTGTCTCCTCTCTCCTTTTCCTTCTCAAGCATGCAATAGTCTTAGTATTAATTTTTCAAGTTGCAAGGGTTTAAGATTATAAAAATTTGCTTAAGAATATATTTCTGTATGATTTGGGTATTTATTCTCTTATTTAGGCCGCAAACCCCAAATTAAATGAATAAAAAAATTGCCTTTGAAAATAATCTTGCAGCTGCTTCAGAGCCTTTCATTTATAAAGATTCTTAAAATTCCAGTATCCTGAAAGTCAGAGGATTAGATGATCCAGCTACAAGAATGAAAATAAACAAAGCAACAATAATAATGATAGTAATAAATAAACACAGATGTTTCAATACACAGTCCTGTGGAAGACAGGACTATTAGATTTTCAATTATTTTGTTGTTGTTGTTGTCATCGAAGCAGGTGTAGTAATGGCACAGAATCATTTTAGATTTATATAAATATAACTGGTCATTACTCTTGAGGACAGGTTCATTTCCAATGTAATCCTCACTCTTAAGAACTCAGAGTGAAGGATGAAAACTATGGAATAGTATGAAGCTGATGTTCATACAGAGAATGTGGGCCTAATTTATAACCAACCCTCAAGCAAATGTCATGCGGGAGAAAGTAATATTCTGTCTTTATTTATAGGAGCAATTCTACCTGTCTGACATAAAACTTCAGGCAAACCTGGATGTGAATCCTGGCCTCCACCACTATATATGTAATGTGATTTGGGGAACATTCTCTAAGTTCTCAGCCTCAGTTTTCTTATGGCTCAATGATAATAATAATATTTATATTTCATGGTTTTTGTAAGGATTAAATAAGATAGCATAAACAACCTGGCACAATATGTGCCACAGGGTAGAGAATAAATAGTAGTCACCATTAATGTTGAATAGTTATATTCATATGTGTATGAGAGGTGCTAATGAATGTAATTTAGTCAGACTTTGAAACAGCATTTATCAGGGTTTAGCAATAAAAACTATCAAAAAGGTAGTCTAGCATGTGGTAGGAGGGGCATGGTATGGTCTATCAATGACAAGCTAAATGCTTAGCAACAGATGCTTTACTGGGTAGAAGAGTTTCAGTAACAGGACTCACTAGAATCAATTTCGAATTGGGAGTAGTACGAGTTTTACAATTTATATCCAGATAAGAAGGGAATGAATTGTGAAATCCTAAGTTTGTAAATGATGCCACTTTTTTGTGTCCTTAAATGATAAGCTAATGAGTAGTAGTGTGGGTTTTGCAGTTGGTTGAATTCATTCAAATCCCAGAAAATAAACTGATAATAATAATTGTGGATTCTTATGAAAATATTGACATTATGTGATGCTACAGCCAAAATAGTCAGAAAAGCAATAAACATTGGCAGAAAAAATGTTAAATATAAAATAGAAAATTATTTTCTACTCTTCATGCATTATAATAATTCCATTGTACTCCTGAAGAAAATAGCATAGATGAAAGACATCCAGAGAGAATAAATAAATGGTAAAGTTGGTGGTAGGGTTTTTCAAACCAAGGAGAACTGAGAAGTGAACTATTTAGTCTAGAATCATAGCAACTTAGAATACATTTGACATTTAGAAGCATACAGAAAGCATAAACATGAGATTATTCAACAAATTCTTTAATTCTAGAACTAAACTACTTGAAACTCAGGAGTTTAATACTTTAAAAAAATGTTCAACCCATAATTTTGTTGTGAAGATTGATAGTATATTGTAAAGAAAAAAAATTACTTCATAAACACTAAAACAGAGGTTGTAGATTAATAGCACATAGGTTGAGCTTGACTTTAGAAAAGCTTTGTTTGGTCCACACCATTGTTGTTTTATCTTGAGTTAGTTGCAAACACCTAACATTCAGGACCATTTATATAAAAATCTAGATTTTCAGCTTATCTTTAAAAGTCAGATGGTAAGCTGGCAACATTGAGCTCATTATCTTCTCTTGGTAGCAGTTGGCTGGAGCAGAGTTGTGAGATTGGGCTTATTTGTCCTCTGTGTCACTATGATTCTCATTGGTCGGCTTTGCTGCCTGGGTTACCTTGCTGGCCTCTCTAAAGCATCAGTTAGCTGTAGTTAAATGACAATCATACCTTCCAGTATTTTCCTTTGTGTCACTGTGAGAAAAATATTAGAAGTTAGAGGGCTATAGTTTTATTCAGGGTGTCATTTCTAAGGTTTTAAATCTTTATCATAGAAAATTCTTTATTGTCAAATATTAATAATAGATGCTGTCTATGAGAACAGAAGTATATTAGTGAAAAATATGCAAGAAAAATGGCAGTCTGCCCTAAAGAGATTAAGAGTTTTGAAGTAGAGATGAATCTGACTCACAGAAAATAATTAGAAAACAAGCATTTTACACATGATTTAACACCTTATATATATACTTAAAATAAGTTTAGAAGTGATTCACAGAAGGGTGAACATTATGAACCTGAATGAACTACAAGATCTCTTGTATATCCATTACATTAAAGGCACTGTGCTAGAGCCACTATCTGAAGGAATTAACATATGAGTCACTGTGCTTTAAAAAATTACAACCTAATAGGACCTGTCCACAAAAAGGTAAAAAATAGGCCAGGCATGGTGGCTCACACCTGTAATCCCAGCACTTTGGGAGGCTGAGGCAGGTGGATCAGGAGGTCAAGAGTTCAAGACCAGCCTGGCCAACATGGTGAAACCTCATCTCTACTAAAAGTACAAAAATTAGCCAGGCGTGGTGGCAGGTGCCTGTAATCCCAGCTACTCGGGAGGCTGAGGCAGAAAATTGCCTGAACCCAGGAGGCAGAGGTTGCTGTAAGCCAAGATTGCGCCACTGCATTCCAGCCTGGGTGACAGAGCAAGACTCATCTCAAAAAAAAAAAAAAAAAAAAAAAAGGTAAATAATATCAGGTAGTTTATGTTAGGTCTTGATTAATGGTATAGTAAATACTACAGGAATGGAGAAGAAATTGAGATTCTGGAAAGTACAGAAAGGACTGTACCCTGAAATGGCTTTGAAGAAGAGGGGACCTTGAAATAGAATGCAAATTCTAAGAGAAGAAAAGGACACAGAAAAGCAGAAGGGCAGACCATAGGTATTCCAGTAGTTTAGCTGTTTGAAAACTAGCTTGCCCACAGCAAGAATGGAAGGGGATGGTTTGAAAAATATTAAAGAGGTTATAATAATTAAACGATGAAGGACACAGAGGAATATTTAGCATAATACTTAGATTGATGAGCAGAACTTTGAAGGATAGTTGAAATTAGAAAGTTGAGGGCCTGACAGCCACAATGACTCATGCCTTTTATCCCAGCACTTTGGGAGGCTGAGGCAGGCAGAACACTTGAGGCCAGGAGCTCAAGACCAGCCTGGCCAACATGATGAACCCCATCTCTACCAAAAATATAAAAAATTAGCTGGATGAGGTGGCACGTGCCTGTAATCCCAGCTAGTCTGGAGATTGAGGCAGGAGACTCACTTGAACCCAGGAGGCGGAGATTGCCATGAGCTGAGATCGTGCCACTGCACTCCAGCCTGTGGGACAGAGTGAGAGAGACTCTGTCTCAAAAAAAAAAAAAAAGAAAAAGATAAAAGAAAGTTGAGGATCAACAAAGTCCACTAGTATGGGCACCCACATAGGGCATGATGATAACTTATTTATAAATAGTGAAAGATTTTATGTGGCAGTTACTTCTTTTCTACTGTATATATCCATATAAAATGACTTTGGTTCTTATTTTAGATTCACAAATGGTATTTGCTAGCCCAAACTAAAATTTTTTTTCTCTGTTTGTTGACGTTGATATATCTTGGCCAAGCTCTCGTCTTTTTATTCTAACTGGATTTTCTAGTTCTTTTTTCTAGCTTTAGAAAACATTAGTTGCATGATCTTGGGCAAGGAACTTAATTTTTTTCCACCCTGACTTCCCTTATCTGTAAGATAGGGATATTCACTACTTTTGAGGATTGGTGCGAAGCTTCAAAGTAAAAATCATCAGGAAAAACATTTAAAATTGATCAGCATGTAATAGCTGTTATTATTGTTGTTTTGTTCATATCTGTGTTCATTCTCTTAGATTTTCTGGCTTTTCTCCTACTTTATCTCTGTGATACTTACTCAAGTTCAGTTCTATTAATTTTTTTCCCTCAATAACACTGTCCTTTCAACAATTGGCGTTAACAATGATTTCTTTCAGTGTAAACCCTCTTTCAAGCATCTAAAGCTTAACACCTTATTTATACCTTTCACTTTTCTCACCTTAGCCCTACTAACAAACTCCTCAATTTATTTTCAGTCTAAACTTTATCCTTTGATTCTTCAGTTATACTTTCTAGGGATACATTGTAAATCAAAACTCTTACACATTTTTCATATTGCTTATGTTATTTTTATATCTGTATCTTAAAATCTATGAATAAGCATCAAGATTTTAAGAGATAGTTATTACATCTATTCAGTTTTGAATTAAAGCAGCATGAAGAATAAACTATATTATTAAAATATTTTCTGGAAATTGTTTATATTCATTGACATTTATGTTTATTTAAGGAATAGAGGAATAGATTTAATTTTTTTGAGAGTTGTTATGAGAAGTAAATATGAAGTGTTAAGCATGGTGCCTGGCATTCAGTAAGTGTTCCATAAATGTCAGCTATTTTAATTGTCATTGTAAAGCAGGGCCAGCCTTTGTTTATTGACAGAGCAATAATTTGATGAGTGTTCGAAGATTCTCCTTTCCCAAGATTAGCTAATTATAGTTTCCTAAATTCCACTTATAAATATCTATTACTTTGGATTTAGACTTTTTGCCTTTGGGGCCTTTTTGTTAATATGAAAATGAATCTTTTGGAATAACACATAACTGGAAGGGGCCTCTATGAATCTGGTAATGTTCCATTTCTTCATTTGGCTGGTGATTACATGTGTTGCTTTGTAAAAGTCAAAGCTTAATTTTTGTTCTCTTTTGCATGATGCAATATTTTAATAAGGAGTTAATGTAAATATACCATGGGGAGCTATATAGCAGAATTATTAGTCATTGATGTATATTGATATGAATTAGTTTTAAATGACTTTAGTTACTTAGAGGTTTTTAAGATTGTTTAACATATGGAATATCTTAGTACCTTGAATTCCTTCTAGATGATAGATTATAATGGCATCATTTGAACTATGATTTGACTCAAAATTAATTTTTATTTTAAGGTCTTCTAAAGTGACAGAGTTGGTTAAATTATAATCATTTAGTGGCGTATATATTCATGAAAAAACTGTTAAACTAGAAAGATTACTTTTTCTTAAGTTTCTTCATGAATATGTACTGTATTTGCTATGTATTCATTCATTTTGTTCTGCTAGAATAACAGACAAGTGGTAGTAGGCACCAAAGGTGCTTTAAAAAAATTTCACGGGCCAAAATTCATGAACTAAGTCAACAGCCATTAAAAATAACATAAAACGGCCAAGTGCAGTGGCTCACACCTGTAATCCCAGCACTTTGGGCAGCTGAGGCTGGCGGATCACCTGAGGTTAGGAGTTCAAGACCAGTTTGACCAACATGGAGAAACCTCATCTCTACTAAAAAACAAACAAAAAAAATACAAAATTGGCTGGGCGTAGTGGTGAATGCCTGTAATTCCAGCTACTCAGGAGGCTGAGGCAGGAGAATTGCTTGAACCTGGGGGGTGGAGGTTGCGGTGAGCCGAGATTGTGCCACTGTACTCCAGCCTGGGCAACGAGCAAAACTCCGTCAAAAACAAAAAACAAAACAAAACAAAAAAAAACAATAAGAAAGAAAATTTATAGGGAAAAAGGACTGAAAATTGAAAACATTCTACTTGCATCAGTTTTGTAGCAAGTTGTGAAAACATGGACATTATTTAGTTTTTAGCAGTAGAATATGTCAGTCAGCTTCATTTTGGTCTAAACAGGATTCTAAGAGAGCATGAATGTGAGTAATTCTGTTTTAGAGTATAGCTATTTCTTTTTTCTCAGAATTATGCACACAGAAATAAACTAGATTGTATTTTGTTTGTTCATTTGTAATATGAAGACTTTAAACAATTTTAATTACAAAGCTCTTGAAAAATGGTTTATCATTCCAAAACATGCTCATAATTTTTATATCCAAATATTGTTATTTTTATAAAAATTGGTATTTGTATCTATTTTTAGATGACTTCAAACCTGCTTCTATTGACACTTCTTGTGAAGGATACCTTGAGGTCGGTGAAGGTGAACAGGTGACTATAACTCTGCCAAATATAGAAGTGAGTATTTCTACATATTTAAGGTGATCATTTTTGTGGGATTCTCAGTAAATTTAAATGAAAATAATTGCACAATTCATGAAGTGATGATTGGTTAAAGTAATTAATAAGCACAGCAAAGCAAAAGCCATATTTTAAACTACTTTAAGCAAAAAAAAAAAAAAAAAAAAATCTCGAAATACTTTAGTCCATTTAATAGTTCCAAGAACTATCATAGCAATTGATTTGAAAAAAATTAGAGGTCTAACCAAATATTTATTAAATTCCTATTATAAACCAGATTGTATACACTGACCTTAGGATAATTAACATATCCCATGCCTTCTAGTCCTAATCTTTTACAGCAGACAGACACGTAAGCATCTAGTGTTGTAAGTTAGAGCATATAAAAAATTCTGTGTAACCACATTAGAAGCAAATACTCTGCCTGCTGGAATCTTGAAAAGCTTCATTAAGCAAGCAATATTTCAGCTGAGCCTTTAAAGGACAAGTAAGATTTTATTGGGTAGACAAAGAGTAGAATATCTAGGCAAACCAAACAGTATGTAAAAGGCTCTGATGCTGAAAGAACAAAGAGTTTGTGGAATAAGTGACTTTACATAGTAAATCATAGTATAACAAAAAATGGGCCAGGCATGGTGGCTCACACCTATAATCCCAGCACTTTCAGAGGCCGAGGTGGGTGGATCCCTGAGGTCAGGAGTTCAAAACCAGCCTGGCCAGCATAGTGAAACTCCATCTCTACTACAAATACAAAAATTAGCCGAGTCTGGTGGCATGCACCTGTCATCCCAGCTACTCAGGAGGCGAAACAGGAGAATCACTTGAACCCAGGAGGGGGAGGTTACAGTGAGCTGA